GGGGGGGGGGGGGGGGGGGGAGGGAGGTGTCTTTACTTTACCTGTATTGCTATAAAGATTTGGAATCCTCACTTCCTTTGCAAATATGTTGCATAAAGAAGAGACAACATTCTATTTTTATCATCAACCTCTATTATTGAAAAGAGAACTATATGGCTAAAAGACATTAAGATGTATTTAGCCTTGAGCCTGCGCTGAGAGTTTAAACTCTAGTTCTGATATCAACTTATCAGGAAACATCTGGCCAGTACAGGAAATACAGGGGCAAACAAGTGATTTCCCCCTTCCCTTAACATCTAACCTATAAGTCAATAGGTAAGTAAACATACACATTTTGAAATCTCACTTCTCTCTCTTTCTCTCTGATTGACATGAAGAAGGGATAAGAGCTGCCTTGGGCATTAAACTGTTCTTGCTTATTTATAACAAAGTTTTATTTTAAAATCTCACCTCCTTCTTTGGGGATTTGTGTACAGAGAAAGAGAAAGAGAGAAAGAAAGAAAGAGAAATCCCTCATCGATTCTATCTCTTTAGATGGCATCCAGAAAATAAAATTAATAAATTTCTGACAGTTTCAAAAACAGTGTATACAAGTTAAATACCCAGGCACACTCATGGGGGAAGGGTGGGAATTTCATATGTACTGAGCTTGAATGCATTCAGAAAAATGCTCAACTAGAGAAAGAGACACAGAGAGACAGTATTAACTGCTATATTTTTTAATGGTGTTTTTAATTGTTGTGAGCTGGCAAGAGTCATGAATTTGAGATGGTCAGCCATATAAACTGAATAAATAAACCAATACACATTCATGGGGGGGGAGTTATATATATCAGGCTTGAATGCATTCAGAAAAATGCTCACCTAGAGTGTGTGTGTGTGTGTATGTGTATATACACATACACATACACACACAAACATACACACACATTACTGTTACATGTTTTAATGGCATTGTTAGCCAGCCAGAGTCATGAATCTGGGATGGGTGCCCGTATAAATTGAATGAACAAACATACACTCATACACATCCACGGGGTGGGATTTTATACATACTGTGCCTGAGTGCATTCAGAAAAATGTTCAACCAGTGAATGACAACAAAACACCCAGATGGACTTTCCACAAGTCTACACCGTGTGCAGGTGTATCCATCCACATGCCTACTACAGTAGTGTGACTGCATATATACATATATAGACACACACACATACATGAACTGTGTGTGTAAGAGAAATTCTCACCCCCGGTAGGAGCGGGATGGATTTCTGACGTGTCCTCGAAAGCACTGGAACCCGCCCTTGCACTCGGGCGAGCAGGGCACGGACTGGATTGACCCCCCCCCCCATCCCACCTCGAATAAAAGGCAGGGCTGGATTTGGGCTCCCCCCACCGCGCTCGGGTCAGCGGACATCCACGCCGTCTCAGCCCCCTCGGCCCTCCCCAAGCGGCCAAGACACGCCCCCCTCACAGATGGAGCCGGGGACACGCCGGAAGCCCCCGAGACCCTCCTGAGGGGCGCTGGCCCCCCAGCCTCTGCGTGCCGGCCCAACCA